ATTCCTGCTCCAGAATAATTTACCCCGGGGGAAAGGAGTTTGTTATTGTAAATAATTACTTATTTCTTCTCGCATTCTTTGTTCCACTCCCCTCTCTATCTCTGTAGATCAGGAAGGTTTATATAAACTTGGTAGTTCATTTAGACTGCAACTAATGTTTCCTGGAATTCTTTTTTATTTCGTTTAGAGTATTGTAAGATGGAACCAAATTATTGCTGTTTTTCCCTATTACTATTGAAGCTACCTTTTGATATTTCAAGTTTGGGTTCTTCCTGGAAGAAATAATGGAACTGTTTATAACTCTTGTTACCCGTTGAAAATTTCAGGGACTTTAGAAAAAAGATGGAGAGCCATAGTTAATCTGAAAAAGAAAATAAAAATATACTAGTTGTGTACTCTGAATTCTTGACGATATGGTAAGTTACAGTGAGTTAAACCTAAAGGTAGGATTCAAGATACTAATTAAGTATGAGTTAAATAACTGCTCACCTAACTTTTGAAAAATTAATGAGAAATACTTCCACACTCCATTCTTCCTTTCTTCTTTCTCTTTTTCTTTCCTGTCATCCATTGAACTAATAAATATTTATTGAGCCCTCACCATGTCCTTGGCCTATCAAATTTCTGTAGTCTGATGACTGAGCCCCAGTTTTTTTAATGTTTCATGTATACTCAATATCAAAATACTAATTAAGAGCGCAGATAGAATTAAAATTCAACATGATTTTCATAAATTATAGAAGCCAAATAGATAAATTTATGAAAGGATCATCTTTGGAGAGGAGATAGAGTGTCCTTCATCCATCTAGGTGATGTCCATGATGGACAGGATAACTGTCAGCATAAGTATAAGGCTTTGGGGGGAAAAGTTAAAAAAATAACAGATGTATTTTCCACATAAACTCTCTGTTCCAGATACCTTTATACTCCAGCCTTCTCCCATTTCTACCCCCTTCCATACGCCTTCCTATTTTCTCCTCCAAATCCTAAATGCTCTTTAAGTCTCACTCCATGTTCTTTGGTGACCGCAAATCCATCTTTCACAGACCCTGGTGCTGTGTTGCCTTTTCTGAATTTCTAAAACGCTTCTGTAGCCCCCAGCCTCGCACTTGAATCACACACAAACGTTCTTGGGTTACTAGGAATTTCCGTGCATCCCGCCTCCTGTACTCAGTGATCAGTTCTTTGAGATCAAGGTCAATGTTTTCTACTTCTTTGCCTCCTCTGTAGCTCTTAGTTTAATTTTGGGAAACATTTAAATTCTTGTAAATCTCACAAGAGAAAAAACAGAAACATAGAGGTAATTGTCTTCCCGACAAGCTTTGGGTCCTTCAGCTTAAGACTGTGGAGAAAATAAAGGATGCTGAGAAAAAAGACACAAAGATAGAAAAAACGACAGATGGAAGAACGACATAAATTAAGGAGGCTAGAGCAATTAGGATTATTTATTTACAGGAGTAAAGACTGAGAGAAGATGCTGAGTAATATTTTCTAGTACATTAGTGCAATAATACACATAGATAATTGACCATAAAGTGGCAAAATTCTTGTTCCCTGACTCTGTCAAAGGTAGTACAAGAGCATGACTCAAAGGAGTCCAAGAGGGATTTAGGTTAGTCTCTATTGTTCCCAGATAGCAGAGAGGCCTTCAACCTTAAACTTTTGCCTGATCCTCCAATTATAAGCTCCAGGTTAGAATGACAGGAATCTATTTCATTCTGAACATGTCAGTAATAAGATATGACTCGTGGTTCTCAGAGGTCCTTAATACATCCTTCTTGAACACCTTTCTTTAGGAACTCTTCTATAAAATATATTGACACATTAATGTAAAAAATGAGATGCTCTCTTATTGTGACCTGAGGCAGTGAGCCCTCCATGATTCCACATCTACCAATGAGTTCCTTCCTCTGCTTCAGAATCTGAGAGGCAATCTTTTGCTGATGATCTCGGCAAGTGGTAGACAGTGCTCTGGGAAGAATTAGAGTGTGTGTTCTGGCTTCACAACTTTGAACTTCATGTGCCATCTAAGGCAAATGATGTAAGTTTTCTCAGCCTCACACACTGATTATTAAGCATTCTTTTTTTTTCTTTTTTCTTTTTTTTTTGGAGGGGGGGTGGTTCGCGGGCCTCTCACCGTGTGGCCTCTCCCGTTGCAGAGCACAGGCTCCGGACGCGCAGGCTCAGCGGCCATGGCTCATGGGCCCAGCTGCTCTGCAGCAAGTGGGATCTCCTCGGACCGGGGCACAAACCCGTGTCCCCTGCATCGGCAGGCGGACTCTCAACCACTGCGCCACCAGGGAAGCCCTATTAAGCATTCTTATTACTCATCTGCTGTATGGCACTTGGGAATCAATAGTAAAGAAGATAGACAAGATCTGTATTCTCACAGTCTATACAGACTAGAGAGTGAGACTTGGTTATCTCATATGCAAAATAGGTATGGTCACCACCAAGCCCCACATGCATTCCTCCTCCTTCTCTGTCCCCTCTCTCATTGATTGGCACTACCTTCCAGAAACCACACAATCATCCGGAACATAG